ATGTTCACGGTGAATGAATATTTCAGTATTGGCTATGTATATAAAAAAGGCCTTTGCAGTGAATATATGTAAAATAAACATTATATAAATATAGAATAGTTTGAGAAAATAATTCAGTAATACAAATCTACATGAGTTATTATATTTCTTTAAAATTACGTTGAATGAACGATATTGTTTTCTAATACAAATACTCATTACGTGTAGACGAAGAACACTGCGAGTGTGGATGTGTTTGATAACTGCCAGAAACCAATCTTCTTTTCACCCATTGTCCTTTTAGATTGAGCCTCTTTTACTCATATAATGATTTCAATTTAAATGATATAAACATATATCAACTCAGGTGTTGTTCACCAAGGTAATTTCATCGCACAAAATGATAGATAAATGATAAATATATGATAAATAAATGATAAATATATGATAAATAAATGATAGATAAATGATAAATATATGATAAATAAATGATAGATAAATGATAAATATATGATAGATAAATGATAAATATATGATAAATAAATGATAAATATATGATAAATATATGATAAATAAATGATAGATAAATGATAAATATATGATAAATAAATGATTGATAAATATATGATAAATAAATGATTGATAAATATATGATAAATAAATGATAGATAAATGATAAATATATGATAGATAAATGATAAATATATGATAAATAAATGATAAATATATGATAAATAAATGATAGATAAATGATAAATAAATGATAGATAAATAATAAATAAATGATTGATAAATATATGATAAATAAATGATAGATAAATGATAAATATATGATAAATAAATGATTGATAAATATATGATAAATAAGTGATAAAGAAATGATAGATAAATGATAGATAAATGATAAATAAATGATAAATAAATGATAGATAAATGATAGATTAATGATAGATAAATAATAAATACGTGATAAATAAATGATAAATAAATGATAGATAAATGAAACATATGTGATAGATAAATGATAAATATATGACAGATAAATGATAAATATATGATAAATAAGTGATAAATATATGATAAATAAATGAAAGATAAATGATAAATATATGACAGATAAATGATAAATATATGATAAATAAATGATAAATATATGATAAATAAATGAAAGATAAATGATAAATATATGATAAATATATGATAAATAAATGATAGATAAATGATAAATATATGATAAATAAATGATTGATAAATAAATGATAAATAAATGATAAATAATAAATACGTGATAAATAAATGATAAATAAATGATAGATAAATGATAAATATATGATAAATAAATGATTGATAAATATATGATAAATAAATGATAAATAAATGATAGATAAATGATAAATATATATGATAAATAAATGATAGATAAATGATAAATAAATGATAAATAAATGATAGATTAAATGATAGATTAATGATAGGTAAATAATAAATACGTGATAAATAAATGATAAATAAATGATAGATAAATGAAACATATGTGATAGATAAATGATAAATATATGATAAATAAATGATAAATATATGATAAATAAATGAAAGATAAATGATAAATATATGATAAATAAATGATAGATAAATGATAAATATATGATAAATAAATGATAGATACATGATAGATAAATGATAGATTAATGACAGATAAATAATAAATACGTGATAAATAAATGATAAATAAATGATAAATAAATGATAGATAAATGATAAATATGTGATAGATAAATGATAAATAAATGATAAATAAATGATAGATAAATAATAAATACGTGATAAATGATTGATAAATATATGATAAATAAATGATAGATAAATGATAAATATATGATAAATAAATGATAGATAAATGATAAATATATGATAAATATATGATAAATAAATGATAAATAAATGATAGATAAATGATAAATATATGATAAATATATGATAAATATATGATAGATAAATGATAGATAAATGATAAATAAATGATAAATAAATGATAGATAAATGATAGATTAATGATAGATTAATGATAGATAAATGATAAATACGTGATAAATAAATGATAGATAAATGATAAATATGTGATAAATAAATGATAGATTAATGATAAATAAATGATAAATAAATGATAGATAAATGGTAGATAAATGATAGGTGAATGATAAATAAATGATAGCTAAATGATAAATAAATGATAGATAAATGATAGATAAATGATAGATTAAATGATAAATAAATGATAGATAAATGATAG